TTTATTATAAATATACATAAAAAAATATAAAAATTAATATTAATTTTAATATTAAATAGATTTAATTAGATAATTAATAAATTAAAAGTTAATTTTTATATTTTTAATATAAATTTGTGACAAAAACATATATTTAATATATTTTTAACTCATGCTTAAAATACAAATTAAATAAATACTTAATAAATTAAACTTGTTTAATTAATAATTAAGGTTGCGCGTTGCCACTAAATGCCGCAAATTAACACTTTCTTTACGAAGGGTTATGAAAATAAATGATTAACGAGCAACAATTTAATTAACAAAACCACAAGCCTATGTTGGATGCATGACATGGGTTACATGCATATGTTTCCTTCTTGTTTCCCAATTTATTTTCAAGGAACACGTTTGCCCCTTTGTCTTGCAAATCTCTTATTATTGTATAAAAAACAAGAAGTCAAATGCCTAAGGTCAACGAAAATCGGCTTTTATTTTTTTTTTTAAGGGGTTCAGGTTGTTTTGCTGTAGTTATAGCCACACTTATATTTATTAAAGTCATACAATTATTTTGATATCTTAGTTTTTAATAATATTTTAAAATAATTACTATAATATCTATTTATAATTTGATTTTAATTTATTAAATAATAACAATAAATATCAACTGTTATAATAGAATTAAGATAAAAATTAAATCATTTATGTGACCTTAATAAATTAATGTATAAGCAGTACTACAACTAAATTGTTTAACATAATTGCAACTCTCTTCCCTTTACTCCCTCCACCGACATACTAACATACAACATATATTAAAAGTTAAAACACAGCTCCTCTCCTCGTACCATAAAAGTAAATTAAGACTGGGCAACAACCTACATGCACTAATGGTAATCTCTCAGTTTTAATGAAATAAGAGATTCGAGTCACAAGTATGTATGAGTGGAATGAGTATCTTCTACTCCAAGAGTTTCCCCTAGAGGGAAGAGCCTGTTCCTTATTTATTTATTTATTTTTTTTCTTCACAAATGTAGTCTTCGCCACATTTAAGTTCCAGAGGTTACACCCTCAGTGAGTTGAATAAAATAATATAGAAGAAAATCAGATAACATCTGGGGAAGAGGCGTTAAGAGATCCACCATTGTGGATACTCTCATACAGGCGGGTCAACGGAAATCAGCTTTTAAAATTGCATCAAAGCGGAGAATTTGTTAGGCTTACCGAGTAGTAAGGAGCGGCGGACACGACGCTGATGGGTTCTGGCGCATCAGCAGAAGATAGAGCGAACAGAGCCGCCTGAAAGAGCTGCGTGGAGCCATTCCCCACCAGGATGTGGCGATCCTCCGTCATTGCGTTTCCCACCAACCGGTGCACCTTCCTGATCGCATCCGCGAGGCCGGACTCCAAAAACCAGCAGATGTTTCCGGGGTTGCTAAAGTAGCTCATCACATCGCTCCCCGAAATCACCACCGTACAATTTCCCCCCAGATTCCTCCAGTATGGCTCGAACATTGTAGGATCACCGCTGTAGAAACTCAAAAATGTCAACAAAATTAGAGAAGTGCCGATATGATTTTGTGATGCAAAAACAAAATGGATTAAACTCACTGGTCGAGATTGATAACGGAATCAGATGGGAGGGGCGTCTTTTTCCTGCCGGCCGCACCTGAGGACAAGATGCCGTTGCAAACTTGGGCTGCATTCTCAAAACCCATCTTTCAATTTTTCCTGCAGAGAAGTGCTTAGTAATTTCGACTAATTAAGTACGTCTCTGTGGTGAGGTCTCATGGCAGTGTTTATAGGAGATCAGAAAGATGTGGAGACCTAGGTGCATGAACCCTATTCCCATTTATTTTATAAATTATTAATTTAATTTGTTTTGATACTTACTTTTATAAATATGCTTGTTTTGAGGAAAAATTAAAGAGATTATCCTTCCATTCTCTTACTGTCCTTTTTTTTTTATTTTCTATTTATTTGCATAAGTGAAGGACGGATTTTTTAACTGCCGTTGGCAAGTTTTCTTTACAATTGCTCGGGTTCTCATATTAGTATGTTGGCTAGAGATGGCTGTTTCTCATCCCTCGATAGAAGCCTTGAAGCAACTGGAGGGTTATTGGTGAGAAAGGAAAGCTAGTGATAGGATCTTGATTGCATCCATCGACCTTGGGTTTCTACGATTTGATGCTTGGAGAGTGCAGGGGCAGAAGCAGAAAATAAAGTGACGGCCGGGGGTGAAAGTTTTTATTGATAACTTGAATTTTAAATATCTTTTATGATATTAATTAATTTTTTTAAAAGATCTTAACAAAATTAAGAGATAAATATATTTTCTTATTGCCATATCTCAAATAATTTTTTTACTAAATTAATCGTTTTACTAAATAAAAAATTATACCTCATTATGATAATATTTAAATAGTAGATCAATTAATTCAAATAATTTTAAATTTTTATTCTTTTCATCTCAAAATGTCTATCTTTTTTTCTTTCACAAATTTGTCTATTAAAAGTTATCTTAATTTTTCCATATTAAAGAACTATGAAAATGATATGAAAAAGTAACATGCAATTTAGAACTTAGAAATTGAATTCATTGATTAAATAAAAACTTAAATATCTTTATCAATTAAAATTTTTATTAATCAAATCCCTTTCTAAAATAAAAGAAAAAAATTAAAAAAATAAAATCCAAAAGCAATGTCAAACCTTAGAGGAAGAAGATTATCTTTGAATTTGAGTTTAATTAAGACCTCAATTCCTAATTTAGTTAATATGCAAGAAATTTATTTATTTTATATTATAACATGCTTATTTTTTTACAAGATATTTAATTAAGTTTTAACATCCTTTTCGTACTTGAAAGGGTGGTTATAATAAAAATATTATAGATTATATTAGTCTTGAATTATTAAATATGAAAAATTTTAAAGAGTTAAATGAAAATAATTTAAAATTTCATTTTCATATATAAATATAATATTTAAAAACTTTAAAAAGCCAAAAGAATAATATATATATATATACCAAAATTGAAAGTTTTCGTAAGTT